TTTGAGGTGTGATTGCCATCAGGTCATCTTCACTTTGAGGTTATAATGTGCATTATATAGCCATGATGTATACTATGCTGTGCTTGCAGATTTGCCAACATGGGGTTACATTTCCAGTAAGCATATATGTAGTACGTTTTTCAGATGTACAGTGAGCATCTTGAACAACACTTTCAGAAATACATAATATGGAAATGCCCATGAGGGCTGATACCAAACTGTCCTTCAAAACTAGTCAAATAACATAAACTTGTTTATATCTGGGCAAATGAATCTGATTTTACTATGGCAGATAAGAGTTCAACCCTAGAATATTATGCTAAACATAAGGTGTATTTTAAGAATCAAGGTAGCAAATAAAATAAAAAATGCACAAACCAAAGTATATTGTGAGCCTATGAAGCTCTCCTCGGAGCATATGCTAATAATACTCAGAGAAACTGAATTTTATTAAATGTTAGTTTGCAGGTCAATGGATTAATTCACTGGTATCTAGAATTTGTTGGGGACCACGCCAATCCTGATTGAAAAGCCTGATTTTCAGAAGTAAGACAGAGAAGTCCTGCTTGTGGCTCAGCGTTTGTATGATAGTTGTTTATCCTCTCCTCACTTACGGTTATTTGGCAAATATTTTAGCAATGTAAAGTATACTAGGAGGCTCCGAAACTTCATTTGCCTGGGTACCACCATTTGGAATGCCCTGGGCCTGTGAGTGTGTGTGAAGAGATCTGCATGTCCTTCCACTGGGTACTGCCCCCATGCCTGTGTCCCAGCTGCAGCTGGGGAACCATCTAACATTCACCAGCTAGCATTTACCACGTGTGGCCAGCTCCTGGCGCTACAGGGTGGAGGTCTGGGGGCGTGTGTGAAGGTGGGGCCTTGCAAGAAGGGTCCTCCAAGCAGGTACAACTGAATTTCCTGCCTGCACATTGCATAGGCTGAAGGACATACAGAACAGCTCAGTACCATCAAGATAAGCTGGTTCTCTCAGCTGCTGTTGCTCCCTGCTGGTGGGTTACCCCAGGCCATTGCCTCCTGCCTCTCCCTTTTCTTTAAAAAACAGACTAATTTTGAAAGTGTTGGCTTTTCCAGCACTGGCAAGTTGCTTGCATTGTGCTTATCTGAGCAGCTTGTCAGCCTGTCCAGAGTTCTTTTATGAGTCATAGTTGGGGAACACCTGAACTGTACCAACACTGTAAGTATAGAATCTTTATGAAAATAGCTTAGGACCTGAAATAAAGCTTAATGTTGCCTCCCAGATACTGCAAATAAAACATTTGGTTTAAATGGCTGCAGTTCTTAGGTATTTTTGTGACTTGGCAAATTCTCAAAATGGGTATTTATGTTTTTTAATTTTCTTTCCCTGTACATTGTACCTGTAGAAGCCCAACTGTCTTGTTGCCTGGGTTGCCTTATGCCCCACCGTGCCACAATTCTGACTTCTTACTCCTTTTCACTTTCTTGTTCAGCCCATATCAATTTTATATGGTCTATTTGCCATTTTATATTAGATTCCTCCCTGCTGCAGTAATCTAATTTCTGGGCTTATAAATTGATTGTCTGAGGCCAATTTTTTTTTCCCTTGAAATTCTAAGGGCCAGAGTTTTCTTTCACTGTGTTCCTGTGTACGTCCACCAACAGTGAGGGCTGTGCATGCTGAAAACCCCTGTGTTGCATGGTTGCTGATGGTGCATTTTGGCCAGCAGCAGTGGTAGGGTGCACTGCACATGCCATAGCTCCTGTTCTTGGGCACCAACAGCCCCGTTTATGTACCCATTCAAAAACTCCTGGCCTGTGATTTTACTACAGTGTATTCTGGGGGGAAGTTTTCCAGTTCCTCAAAACCTTTTCATGAAGCTCACTTTTTAGACGTCTGTTCAAACTACCTATGTTTAAAAAATTGCTAATAATTGCTGCTTTAATAATGTTATGTGCTGCTTTGCATACAATACTTTCTACAACTATAATTATGTATATTGTAAAAATGAGATTTTAATGTCTCCTGGCAACAGCTGTTGTTTTCTGCTGTGTCTTCCTCTCCTCCATGTCGCTTCTGAAACTCTGCTCTTTGAAACTGCTCATCTCTGTTGCAGAAGTCTCGTGTTAACTTTTTTTTGTTTGCATTTGAGTCACAAAAAACAGTGACTTTAAGAACTTTTAATTGTAAATCGAGCAGTGTTACTTTTGGTATAACTAACCTGGATGTCCGTGCTCCGCAGAGACATGACCTTGATCTGCTGGGTTTTAGGAGGAACACAACTGCAACATGGCTATGTACTGATAGTGTTGATGGAGAGGCTGTGGCTTTTCTTGCTCAACCTTTGGAAGCTTTCTAGCAAAATATTTGAAGTGTTTTTTGACCATTGTTGCATGGGAAGAACATTAATCATTGTTTACAGTTATTCTTTTAGGAGTTGTTTGTTTTTTTTTTTTTTTCAACCTTGCTACAAACAAATGGCAGCCAGTTTCTAGAAAGCCAGTTTCTTTCCACTGTGATGCAAGAGATGGGTGAAATATTTTTGACAAACTAAGGCACTGTGAATAAAACATGCAGATATGTGCAGAAGAATGTTTTGGCTGCTCTGCCATGAGTACTTTGCTTGAAAGACAGCTGTATAGTACAGGGCCTTTAAAAGTTTGTGAATATAGACCAAGGTGTCTTTCCTCCAGCAAAAATGCAAAATTGAAATATTAGTTTTAAATATCACTCTATTAATAATAATTTCCTTCTGGAATTAGATAAGTTCTAATCTTTCTACAACAGCCTGAGTTCTCTAAGTTCTGTTCAATTCTGTGTCTGGCTTTTACTACAGGTTTGTCCTGGGTGCTTGGGAATGCTGAAGAGTTGCCCTTCGGTGACAATAAGTTTGATGTTTACACAATTGCCTTTGGAATCCGAAATGTAACTCGCATTGATTTGGTAAGTTGCTATAGTGTATCCTGACGTGGGGTCCTTACAATTCACTTGAGGCTTTTCATTCTAGCAGAGGGAGCAAAGGAGGAATTCCTTTGGATAAAGGAAGATCTCTGTCTACTTCCAAAGCATTTAATATAAGTGGCATGTAGTGTGCAACTCATTTGAATGAAGAATAGAATGAAAATGTTCCAGCATTTTCATAAAAAGTTAGATTTATACTAGTTGCACCCAATCCTTCCAGCTTGGCAAGCCACACTATCTCTTCCAAGGCAAAAAACTGCTGAATGCTACAGTCATTACCCACCTTATCCTGACCTATGATACTGCTGGATCTTTCAGTGTAGCCAAAGATTTCTCTTTTTTTATTCCATCACCTTCCTCCCTGTTCTCACATGTTGCTTATCCAAAACCCAATGTAATTTCTTCTTTGATCCTTTGGGTGTGCCTCACAGTTGAGTAAAATCTTTTCTTTTTATTAAAAAGAAAAAAAAGAAAGATCTATCGTACCGTCTTCTCGTTTCCAGCTTCTTGTAGCTGAGTCATCTTCTCCCTTCTGAGTTTGGTCTGTAATTACAAGAGCTCTGCTGGCAAACATTCATCAGCTGAGAGCAGGGGAAAACAAAAGCAAATTGCAACATCTTAGTTTTGACACAAAACCTGGTTTAAATCCATTTATGTAACAGCAAGAATGTTTGTGGTTTGGTTTTGTTGTTTGTTTGGGGGTTTTTTTTGCACTTGTCTTGGGATGCTTCTCCACAAGTATTAGAGATTATCAGTCAGGATTCTCTTTATTCCCCTTGGTTCATCACCAAGTGGTCATCACATGGCATGATAACAGGCAGGTTACAGAAACAAACTTACCACATTGCTCTGTCTCAGGCTCTTGAGGAGGCCTATCGTGTGCTGAAACCAGGAGGAAGATTTCTCTGCCTTGAATTTAGTCGTGTCACCAACCCTCTTCTTTCCAGGTAGGAAGATGGTGACACTGTATGCCCTGTCACAGAGTTCTCCTGTTTGTACTCAGCTAGAGTAAGAGATGGAGGTGCTTTCAGGTCACCTCATGGTGCCCTTCTAAAACCAGATACAGCCTCAAAAGTATAATGGTGCAGAGATCAGCTTGTGTTGGGGAGGGTTTTTTAAGCTTGTCTGTACTGATGTGCATTTGCTGTCTGTCTGGGCAGGCTCTATGACCTATACAGCTTCCAGGTTATCCCTGTCCTGGGCGAGGTTATTGCTGGTGACTGGAAGTCATACCAGTATCTCGTGGAGAGCATCCGACGTTTCCCCCCCCAGGTAAGACACCGTTTCTCTGAATTCAACAACACACAAAACATGATCCCAACATAATCTTGCAGGCAGCTGGTTTATAGGCCTTCGAGTTGTTACTGTTATGGAACTATTCTTTTTCAGGAGGAGTTGAAGGCAATGATAGAAGATGCAGGCTTTTTTAAAGTGGATTATCAGAATTTAAACTCTGGCATTGTTGCCATTCACTCAGGTTTCAAACTGTGAGTCTACTATGTAGCAAAACACAGGAAGTGTATGAAAGCTGTGGAATTTTAACGCTGTCATGATTGAAGAGGAGTTTTAAGAACTTGTGCAACAGATATTTGCTCAGCAGTCAGACCCAGAAGAACATCAGCTACCCTTTTTTCCCCCAGGAAGCTGGTGGAAGGATTGACTCCTGGGGTGTTTCTTATGCTTGCATTTCTCTTAAAGTGCTACGTAAAGGACATGGTAACTGCAGTTACCAGTTGTGTGGATACAGAAATAGACTAACTAGTCTTTGAATAAGATGCCTTTTTTTTTTTTTTTTTTCTAAGCTTCGAGGAGGATATCATACTGTGAGAAGTAACTTGGATTTACTAGATATTTATTAAGCTGTCATTATCTTTGTCATGTGGACTTTAAAGGGATTTTTCCTATGATTCCTTTACTTGTTTCAAAGGCATATGGAAGGCTTGTGAAATAAAACAGCTCTGCATCAACTTTTTTTTCAATTAAGTCAATATTTTAACCTTTTAAGGTTTCAATGAAAGGAAGATTTTTCTGAAAGAGAATGACCACATAACTCTATATTCTGGCATGAGATGACATTTTCACCTCCATATGAAATCTTTGTTAGTGCTCGATGCATAATCTCTATATAAAAATACTGTGCTTTTCCTTCTGTTCTTTGAACAGATGCTTCTGTAGCAGGATATAGGGACAGAGTAAAGAAAAACCTAGATAAGGTAAATTTATTTTCTAAAGTGACAGCTGTGTCATGAACTGGAAGGAAAATTTCTCACATCTGAAAATCAGGAAATGAAAATACTATTGAGACTATTGCTTTTCACTTGCCAATTCACTTGAAATCAGAGAAGCAACACTGTATCTCAACTCCAGAATTTGCACTGGAGGTTGTGCACAGTGAAATAATGCTCATCAAGAACTGAAAATCAGTCTCTTTTTCTCTGAGGGAGACTATCTCCTGTTGTTCTCAGTTACTGACTCCTGACATAGATTAGCTCATGTTTCATATACTGTGGATTTGGGGGAGAAATGGAGGCAGAACTATTTCTCCATTCACAGAGGAATAAAGAGAAGAATACCAGTAGTAAGAGGGCAGAAGGGTAGAGAAAACTCTTAAAGGATAAACAGTTTTATTAGCAAAGAAGCCATCTTTTAAAAGAAAATAAATACAAGGAAGACATTTTGGACTTTTTTATATAGCCACAATGAAAATACCATCTGCTACAGCAAAATCCCTGACCATTAACAATACAACAATAGACCTGAAGATCTAGGTCTGTTTTCTCAGGAAGGCTGAAGGTAGGAGGCTGTTTGGGGTTTGTGTGCAGTCCTGCAACTGGGTGCAAGGTTCACAACAGTCCCTGGCTCTAACCAGACTTGAAAAGAAGAATAGCGACCTGGCCGAGGTAGAAGTAGATGAAGTGCTTGGTCTCATGAGTCACGTAGCTGCCAAAGTTCCTTCCCACAATACAGTGCCAGGTGGGATTGTATTTCTTGTCAAATTCCTACAGAAGAGAGAACAAGAAATTCAGCATTTTCATAAGAAATTGTACTAGTATTGTCTTAACAGGGATTTTTTTTTTTTCGCAATGACATGTCACTTGTTAACAAGTATTGATTTTGGAAGAAGACAATTAAGGAACAATATATGTTTCTCAAGTGTAAGGATCATCTGTCACTTTATAACTCATCTGGTGCTTAGACAGAAAAAAAGTGCTTCCAAGCTGAGCAGGAACAACCTTAGAATATGTTTGGGGAACTAACTTTTCCCCAAAGTCACACGATGTTCTCAGTCTGTAAATTTTAAGGGCTTCATCACTTGTTCTACATCTTTACAGATGAATCTTGACTTTGTTAGCTGTTTTCAACAAGGAGGTTGAAAGGATTCTTGATGAAAAATTCTCTGCCACATCCTTGATACCAGGTCATGAGACCATGTTCTTTATAAATACTGTAGTCAAGAGCCTGCTGTGACTTTCAAATAAACCTATGTGTATGAGTCTCCTAGAGGTAAAACTGCAGTCAGTGGGTATGTACTGCAGTATGGAACAGCTATCAGCTGAAGAGACTTTCTGTTGTGCTCAGCCAAACCCTTCAAGTGCTTGCAGCTCAGCTGAACTCCCAGCAGGAGCTGGTAAGGCAATGTGACAAATGTAAGCTATGAACCATCTGTTCTGTGTTAGCATGAACAGTTTGTCTTACTTGTTGAGAGGAAAGAAAAAAAAAAACAAACCCTCTTATTCTATGTAAGCCAACAAACCACCACTTCTCAGCTGGGCTCCATGGAGCCCCTGTGCTGTGTAGCAGCGCATCAGTCCCAGGGACAGTCAGCTGGCACTTGCTGACTTGCACTTGGACACCTCACCTGGGCAAGGGGACACTGTCAGAAAATGCTTGAGTA